TCTGGCACACATAGCATATTGTATCGAACTGTTGCCTACATTATATTTTAATTCATATCCCTTTTTAAAAATATATTTTTAAAAACAAATTTTTCCTTTCTTATTCAGATAAAACCTTCAGAAAATGTCCCTGAAACAAATCCCAGATGGGTCGGGAAACACCCTCACAGTTCTGGAGTATGAAGGAAGACTCTATCCAGATTTTGACTTGAAAGCGATCAAAGGTGCACTCACGTTCGAGGCAAGACCGGATGATGTAGTCGTCTGTGCCTATCCTAAATCTGGTGGGTTCACACATGATATTCTTTTTTTGTTTGGTTTATTTGTTTTGTCCTGTCAGCTGTTTCATTTTATTTCCTTCTACAAATACTTCCACTGAGGAACTTTTACCCTCATTCATTCATTGTAAATAAGTAAATAATTTTAGTTTGTTTTTTTTCTAAAATCTTTTTCTTATCTATTCACATTATTTTAATCCTCCTTTTATTTGAAAATTGTTTATCATTTTATTGTTTAAAGGACTTAACAAATTGTAAAACAAAAATATCAGGCTGTCTATCCACATGTATTTATTTATTTACCGATAATGGAGGGGATTTTTGCTTTCACTTATTATGTGGGTGGTTGGAAGAATAACGGATAATTCCTCATTCTGTGTTTTTCCTTTGTTTACTTATGTCTGGTTGTCTCAACTTTTTTTGGAGCACAGATTGGCTATTTTTGTGTGGATGGGTTCCTCTTTACTCAAACAGACTAACAAACAAAGAAACTTTGACTATTTTCTTTTTTATTCCCCAGGGACTCACTGGGTTTGGGAGATGGTTCGACTCCTTTTAGCAGGGACAACAGATGTGCCAGTGGTGGAGAAGGATGATGGTATGATAGAGTTCATCCTTCCTGAGGAACTGGAGGTCAGTGAAACTATTTGGAAATACATTTGACTCCACTTGTGTTTAACTCGCATGAGTTGATTTTCGGATAAGTTGATCTTCTTTTCGGGTCCCAGCACCTCTTCTTCTTTAGTAGTAGTAGTATAAGGTTTTACGGCGCTCGCAACTGCTAAGGTCATATGAGCGCGTCTTCTTCTTTACCGGTCCCAATGGTTAAGTCGAAGGTCGAAAAGTTCATCTTTTTTTTTCACTCCCCTGACCACATCAACTCATCGTTAGTCCATGGTATACATTTCAAATTGTCCTCGACAGTTACTCATTGTCAAGGAGAAAAATTGTTGTCTTACACAGGTGGATGTTTTGGACAGTGTCATTATATTACTGAAAAAATGCTAGGGGTTGGTGGGGGGTGGGAGGTGGGACTGGTTACTTGTACAGGTGATTGTCTCTGATAGATGGCTGTTAGAGAAGGTTTCACTGTGTGTGTGAGTGTTTGTGTATTGTGTATATGTGTTTATTCTTGTTTGTATATGTGTGTGTGTTTGCTTGTGTTTGTATGTGTAAGTGTTCTAAAATGATATGAAATCGAGTCTATCATCCCTTGTGAATGAAAAGTAAAAGTACTTTCAAGTAGCTCAATTTGAATAAGACAAAGTAAATGATCCTGAACTGATCACACCAAGTAAGCTCTATAATGTAGTCTATACCAGTGTATGAACGGGTAAACTTACTCATGGGAAGGGATTTATTTGCAAAGTTTGAACTGCTTGACCATTCTCTCTCCCAGCCAACCCGTTATATCTGTGGGTGAAAACAAAATGCCAGCAAACTTAAAACCAGAATCTCCAAAACTTTAATATTTCCTTGTGGTATATTTGTTACGCTTTTTACCATTTCACGCTGGAGACAAAAGTTTGATTCCTGCATGGGAGAATTGATGTGTCAAGTATTTTCATCTTTCTGCAAGAAGTGGAAGGTTGTTTCCCATTCAGTTTACTTTGACCCTGACAAGCAGGGTCAGATCAGGCAGCCTCCTAAATGATCTCAACTGTATCAATGAGAGCATAAAACGTTTATGATCATGGAAATCAATAACCTTACTTGTCCAAAGGTAAATGCCTGTGTAAATCTAACCTGATCATAGCTTATTGTGGAGCCAGCCTGATCATAGCTTATTGTGGAGCTTCTATGAATCGTTTATGTTTGATACTCCTCAGACTCGTCACTCCTCCAAGAATGAGGTTTAACATCTAGCTAACTTAGCGAAGTCATTTTGAAATTTGAGCATTTGTTTCGCATCAGGGTGTTGGGTAGAGAGAAAGAACATAATGTGAGGATAAAGCAAAGAAATTGAAGTCCCACTGAGAATTGAACTTTAAAAATCTGTATCTTGGGCAAGTTTGAAAACCAACTGTATTAAAAAGGGTTTTGGGTCTGTAACTGCTTATTAAGGTAAATAGATAAATAATATTAATATATATATTGTTATTATTTTGCATATAATAGCCTGAACATCATGTTAAAATAAAGGTTTTTGTTTTCTTCAATTCTCTTAATTTGTTTGCTTCAAAGTGAAGTTTAGCGTCCATCTTTTAAATTACCTCATAGTATTGCAAGGGGAATTAAAGCTATACATTTTTACACTACACACTTCAAGTGTGATGCCTGACTAGGCAGAGAATAAGTTATTCAGAAGATGACAACTTTGTTGCTTTGGATTAAAGGACCTGGTATCCATTTGAAAAGCTTGTTATGAGCAAGAAATCCAATGACTCATTATATGATGCAATCATAGGTTTATTAAATTTTACTTTTTATCCTTCAATTTTCAGAAACTGCCATCTCCGAGGGCCCTTAATATACATTATCCTTTTGAGTTTTTATCGAAGAGCTTCTTCACCAATCGTAGCAAGTTTGTCTACATTTCACGCGACCCTCGAGATGTAGCTGTGAGCTACTTCCACCATCACAGGAAGCTTGTGCAGTACTATAAGTACAAGGGACAGTGGCAAGACTATCTTCCTCTCTTCCTGGAAGGGAACGGTAAGTTGGAAACAGAATTGTTTGTTTTGAGGCTTTTTAACAAAAAATATTTTAAAATTTAAATCTATGTGTTTTTATGTTTATTGTTATCTTAGTGTACATGAGTCCATGCTTATGTATATATGTGTGTGTTTGCGTGTGTGTATGTGTGTGCGCATAATGTGCATTTGTGTTATGTATGTGTGTTTGTATGTGTGTGTATATGTGTGTGTATGTGTGTGTATGTGTGTGTCTGTGTGTGTGTCTGTGTGTGTGTGTGTGTGTGTGTGTGTGTGCGTGCATGCATGGGTCAATGTCTGTGTCCTGTTCATTCTAATTCAGTGCTTCAGATCCACACATTTTAACCTGCAAGGCGCCAGTGTAATTTTTCACATATTCTTCCATGACTGCCAATTAATGAGGTCCTACTTCTACTAATATCAGGGAAATTACAAGAGGAAAAAAGGGTTAAGGTGGGGTTTTTTTCGAAGTATAAAACCAAGACCTTAACCAGCAGAAGTGTGTGGTTGACAGGTGCTCTGGTGTGGTTTGCTCCTTTTTTCCTATCACACATCTATGCTCCCAATCTTTCTTCCTCCTTTTTTTGTGTTTATTACTCTCACGTAACCCCTCCAATATTCATACTCATATATTACCTGATTGTGTTGCAAGTGCCGTAAAATGTTTAAATAACATGTGAAACAGTGGGAAAACAAATATTCTAGTCTTAAAATTACATGCACAATCCTTTAACTTGAACTGCATGATTTGGATGACCTGTCTCCATAGATCCATGTTCTCCTATGTTTTCTCAGTTGACTATGAGTCCTGGTTCTCTTACACAAAGAGCTGGGAGGAAGGCATCGCACAGAACCTAGACCAACCTATTTATGTCACATCATACGAAGCTATGCATGAGGTAGGTCTTCACTTATGTTTGGGGACACTAGTAAATATGTATGTTTGGTGTGCCACAATTTATGCAGATTTTGATGCATAACAATATGTAGGCTAGAACCAAACAGTTTCAGATGAATATGTAGTTTAACTATACACGCTTGTGATTTAACTATGCACACCTTCCTCTTGTTGCGATCCAACTTGCACTGACTGGTGACAACTCTCTGCGCTGCGCCTTGACTGTCACTCACGCTGTCTTCCACAGTCCGTGGCTCACACCTTGGCCTGCCCTTGTTCTCTTCTTCAATGTTAATAGGTACCGTACTCGATTACTTTCCCGAAATCAACCAGCTAACCATAGATCACCCGTTGTCCAGGATAAAAGTGATATTCTTCTGAGACAGAGGATCTGTTTGGACAGTGTTATTTTAAGGGGAAAAATCAAGAGAAGGGGGAAGAGAGAGTGGGAAGTGGTGATTCGCTCAGGTGATTGTCTTGGACAGGTAGTTGTTGGAGCAAGTTTGACTGTGTGCTGTATGTTGGACACTTTGTTCAGAATGTATAGAAACAATGCTCTTAAAGCTTAAAGGTTGTTGTGCTAAAAACATTGAGAAGTAAGTTTCAAAAGCCTGTAGTGGGACAGGGAGGGGAACCTCAGATCAAGCCGGCCATAATAGAAAACCATGTTGTTATATGACAGTAGCCGGTTCTACATTAACCCTCTTAGCCCAGGATAATTTTTGTTTGTATCTCTAAAGTAGGTATGTAGTTAAAATATAGGTAGATACTGGAAAACATACAAACATGTTTCATAAATTTGTCGTGATTTTATTTACTGTCTGACACCAAGTACAATATACATTATCTGAAAGATTGAAGATTGTTTTGCTTACAAAATAATTTCTATTTATGAATTACAAAAAATAGGTACTGAGCCCAATTTCAGGTCCATCAGGCTATCCAGGAAGCCCAATATCAGGCCCATCGGGTCAAGAGGGTTAAGAAATCTATTACTCCAGTTTCCACAGAAAAATGTAGGTCTAGATAGAGCTGTCCTTTGACCTGTAGCTTTTGCATTCAGTATTAGAGCAAAACTTATTGTCCAATCAAGGCAATAATGCCCACTTATGGACCAGAAAAGGATAACGGTAACAGTTATAGGCAGTATTGTTGAAAAGATGTAGACAGAGCAGATCACCAATCACCCACTTTCTTATATAACATAGATGTAACTGTCATCACAAAGTAGTTTTTAGTCTGTTTTTGCCACATTTTTACCCTACTTAATCATTTTAGCTAGAAACAGAATATTTCATTGGCCTGGTGTATTAATAGTAGTAAGTTTGAAATTTTTAAACCTGTGGTATCAATTACATGTGCTTGAGAAGTAATTTGTTGAAAATCAAATTGTAAATGATGATAAAAGCAAGAAAAGATACAAAACAATTTTTACTCTACAATTTTTAGAAGAATGAAACAGTTTTTTCTCTCTTTGGCTTAGAGCAGTTGAACAGCTTGCTGAGGATTTATGGTGTTGACTACATTGAGGGGAAGACAACCTTCTGTATGAGGTGTTATTAACTGTCATATTGTTTATATAATGAACTGTGTATTGGTACTAACATGGCATTTGAGGTGTTATTAACTGTTTCATGTGTTTATGATGAACTGTATAGTGGCACTAACATGGCCCTGTTTTCTATTTTTGCCAAACCCGCTCTAATGGCTAATTGTCCAGACAATTTCAACTGTATTTTTCTGAGAAACTGTAACCCCCCCCCCACTCGCCCCTGCTCTGGTTTTTTACAGGACACACTGGGTCAACTCAGAAAAATGGCGCAGTTCTTAGGCACCCGTCACGATGACGAGTTTCTTCAGCAGGTCATTGACAAATGTAGCTTTGACAACATGCGAGCGACAAAAGGGAAGAATGAAGTTTTTGAGGGCTCCAACAGCCCGATTATGTATCGGAAAGGTGAGAAGTTTGTTTTGTTTTATGTTTTAGAAACAGATTTACCGCATTTGCAACACACAGAAGTCATATAAGTGTTGGTGGAGATTAGAGGCATTTTATCTGTCTGTTTATATACAAAGAAAAAGAGGAGAGATAAGGAAGATAAATGCTTGAAAATAAAAAAGAAGCAAACTAAACCACACCAGAGCACTCACCAACCACCCAGGGAGAGAAATGTTTGCCTTTCTTCAGAACTCAACAATGCTCACCATAGCTTCACAGCATTTCTTTCAAAAACTTCATGCTTACATGCAGACCTTAACGTGTAACTCTTGAAGTCTATACGGATATTTTTTTTCTGCATTATCACTATTGGATTTAAGAAGAGAATATATCAATGATCAAAGTTACGAGCACCGTAATAAAACTCTTACTGAAACGAAACAAAACAAAAGCCCTTTATTTAACCCAGAGTCTGTGTGGTGTAGCAGTAAGGCACTTTGCCATCAGTTAAGCACTTCACATCACCGTAGGCAGAAGACCTGTGTTCAATTTTTATGTGAAAAGAATTTTTATCAAGTATCTCCGGCTTATTTTCTACCGAGATGTTGTATCTCTCTTGGCCTGGGTTGGCACTGACAAGCAGGGTTAAAGCCTGCATTCTAAATGAACTAAATTGTGTTGATCGGGGCTTAAAACACCTATACTTTTTTTTTTTTTAAAGAAAGAAAAATGTTAAAGCCTTTATAAGAATGTCACTTTTATATTTTTAACACTATCATGTACTCTCCTCAGGTAAAGTCGGAGATTGGAAGAACAACTTCACAGTGGCGCAATCTGAGAGATTTAATGAGATTTTTGAGAAGCAGATGGCAGGGACAAAAGCTCACACACTTTATTCACAACTCAACAAGAGAACAGCATAGAGGAAGTGAAAGGTAGACCGGATAGATTATTTTAGATTTTACAAGTGAGAACTACATAAGGACAGAGATGGACTGAATGGAAAAAACATAGATATATGATATCATCACACTCGTAAGATAATTGCCAAAGTCATTTTTGGCCAGTGTGAAGTTTTTGGATCTGGAATGAAGAGCAGAGCCAGCTGAGTAATATAGATCACTTGGACAAAAGAATAATCCAAATATAAAATCATTTGAGTGTTCCAAAATTCAAGAATTTCACGGAGTCACTTATTCGAAAACCTATGAATTTGATGTATCTGTGTTCATAGGGCTAAAATCTGAGAAGTAGCTCATTTTTTCAGCCAGCCTCACATTTCTGTTTGCCTGTTGTTTTCAGGTGAACACAAAAATCTCCAACTGCTGAGCAGAGAACAAAATGTAATTTCCTTTTGAACTTTTATAGGGTAGAAGAGGATACTGATGTTATTGGGAAAAAAGGAAGCGTTAAAAAATTTTGGTTTACGCTGAAAGTTCTGTTTTATTTTGTGAGAGGAACACACAAAGTAAAGAAAGAGGAGAGATAAAGATGATAGATATTTGATAGGAGAGAAAGGGTAAACTACACCACAGCATCCACCAACCACCACCAGTAATGTTTTGGCATGTATATGGGGGTTTTTTTCTGATGGCTCAAGATGAGTTCAAAAATCAAATCGTTTCTAAATGGAATTTCAGATTGTCTGTCAATCTTTTGTGTTCACATTGTTGTGAGAAAACAGTGAAATGTCTAATATTTGCTGACCAATATATGTATGCGCAGCCATTTTTAAAAAAACAGTTTTCCATACATTAAATTGAAGATAGCATTTTATTTTTTTTAATTTATAACATTTTTTAAAAAATGTTTCGTCATGCCATGTAACGCCAGCAGTCTTCCATTGTCAGCTTTCCACCATCGCAGCCAAACTTGTCATGAAGTTGTAATGGATGATACAAATATATTAATTGATGTAACCCAGAAATGTCAACATCAGCTTGACTTATAACTCTATCTTGCCCTTTTCTCTTCCATTTCCTTTATTTTGCAAAAAGAATTCTGTTCGTTTTCTTCTGGATAAAAGAGTACAATGGATTGTTAGATTTAGATTCTCATTGCACGCATTCATATATATAACGGTAACCTTATGCAGTTGCGAGCACCGTAAAACTTTTACCAAACTAAACTAAAAGATTTTTGCTGTGTAACAAGTATATGCTGTTACACTTTGCTTCAAAAATAAAAATAGCTATAACAGGGATATATATATACCTATATTTTTTTTTTCCATCATGATGCTCTGGGCCACAGGGTAATCTAGCTTGTGTATAACCATAACCAAAGCTTTTCCTCTTCACAGTCATGCTTTTTTCCTAGACTGGTCTGATAACAAAGCTATTTTCTGTAAGACAATTCGTGCATGATTGCTCAGTTTTTCTCATGCCATGCATTAATATCTTGGTGCTGACTCTCCGACACTACTTCCAGAACCAACTGTATTTTCATACCTTGTATTGACTTTACAGAATACACGTTTTTTTTCTATTTTTAAGAAAGGAATTGCGTCTCCGGGAAGAAGGTATGTCAAAGAATGATGTGTGGACATTTGATAGTTTTTCTGAGATGGCATATAATAGGGCCTACTGTATTTTCTCAGGTCTTTATAACAGACGTACTGATTTTTTTGATAAATCTGGATTATTGAAGTACATACTGTACTGGATAACTGTTTAATGTGTTCATGTTTATACATTAATTCATTAATCAAAGTATTTTGATCTCTTTGTGCGTGTCATATTGCACTTTGCATAAAAATGTCATGTATTTTCTGCGAGAAAAGATGATTTCTAAATTTTTTGTCCATTGTGCTCATTTCCATGAGGTCAGTGAAGTCAGGATTAAATTTTTTTTTTATTGTTGCCAGTTGGTACCTCGACTGCTTTTTAGTAGTTCTTAACACAGGGCTGTTGTTAGGTCACTGTTTTTGTTCATGAGTTCTTGTATTCGAAACTGTCGAGTCCTCCCTCTGCTGCACTTGGTACATCATTAATTATGATGTATTTCCCCCAGTCCTCATACAGTTTAACATACACATTATGAAACAGATTTTCAGGGCCTGAATTATTCTTATACATGTATATTCTTTGTTTGTAAAACATACATAATATACATATACATAAGAAATTTGTAAATTATGTAAAGATTTCCACGCCCCACTGATTTCGCTTTGTGTGTGCTAGACTGTATGTATAATACAGGTCTTTGTATATATACTTAGGCGTAGACGTATAAGTATTTTGACTTTATTATTTGAAAATTGACAAGTCAGAGGATGCTATGAACCAATTCTGCCTAGGAACCAGTTTATTTTGCTCTGAAAGATGACAGTGTTCCACTCATAGTTACCATGACCAGGTTTACACAGTCATTTGAAAAAATACACGACTTCTTGTTTGTAACTTTTGACGGATTAAGATACACCAATTTACTTATTTTTATTTGTCTTTGTTGCATTAAAAATATGATATGCATCTGGCCACTAATAAGCAACATTTACTCTTCATCTTTGCTAATTAATTGTATTGAAAAGTTATTAGGTGTCCTTTTCTCTTTCTCTCACTTCAGCCATTTGTTTTCTACCAAAATAGAGTAGGCTACTATATAGATCCTATTTATTATTATCATTCGTCATTCATATATTAATTATAAATTTTTCACTAGTACAGTACATGTAGGTATGAGTTAAGTGTGCCAGACTGGTTTTCATAGACTGACGTGTAGATTTGTAGATCTATTGTTTGCTAAGGTGCGTGCAAAAAAAACCAATTTATTTCCATGAAAAATAAGTGCGCTATTAATTATGTAAGTATCGTAAGACATGTCAACAAAATCCAGTATGGTCGCCGTATCCATGAATTTTTTTTCTCTAAAAATTGATTGCGGATTTTAAGACTCCTTACAATGCTAGTTATTATATGTGTGAAATTTGGTAACATTTGATCCACTTATAAGCGAGATAGCTTTCGGCTGGGGTAAGACCAGTTGAAAAGTCTATCAATGATATGTCACATCATTGATTTTTTTTTTTTTTAACATAGACAAGATAATGCTTCCATTTACTAGCGACTCTTAGTTATAGTTATAGTTATATAGACTTTCATTTATGTTCACTGCCATGAGAAATATGATTTACCTTACATGTCTACTCAGTCTGTGAATCAATAACATTGAATGTACAATTTTACAAAGTGTGGATGGAATGGATGGGATTACTATGAAATAAGTCTTTTCTCGTGAGGATGTCATTTTTATGTTCGATCCCAATTCTCTTGCAAAAATTTCATCCTGCTACAGGGATATTCACTTATCAAATTTCTGTGTTCACAAATTATGCTTTTTTAAAAGAAACCATATAACATTGTCAATGATACCGTTGTTTTAAAAAGTATTAAATGTGTTCAAAATTGCATTGTTTCGGGTTGTCATGACCAGGCTCAGACATCTACCACGTCATGATTGTTGAAAGCTTTGGAACAACGTCATTTTTCTATAGAAAGAGTTTCCTTTAGTTAGGTTAAGTCCTTAACTATAATAGCATCATAAAACGCCTGACTTGAGACAGAATTGTGCGTCAAGACAGACCCTTTGGTCCTGAGTTCATAGCCAGAAGATGGAATCAGCTTGTTTTTCTTTAAATGTAGTTGCTTTTACGCCCCCATCGACACAATTTAGATGATCATTTACTGATTTAGGAGGCGGGTTTTTTACCCTGCCTATCATTACCAACATGGATTGAGAGGGATAAAACATCCCAAAAGAAATATTCAGGTACTCTTTAAAAATTTATCCCCACTCGGAAATCGAACGTGGGTCTCCTGCGTGAAACAGCAAAGCGCCTAACCACTACACCAGTGTTGACTCTTCTGTTTATCTTTTCGTCTAAGAACATGAGTCTCAAAACTTAGTGAAATCCTTTGGAGATACATGTACCAGGTACTATGTCTTAGGTCAACAGAACTGACCTATCAATTGTTATTTCTTTTATATCATAGTCGAACCTGTTCAGAGCAGTCACCGATTGTTGAGGAGAAAAAGTGGTTGTCTTAGACAGTGACACAGACTGCCTCTTGGACAATGTCAGTACATGTATAATATAGAAAAAACGCTGGGGGGGGAGTAGAAAGTGGCCGTTTGTACAGGTGATCATTAGAGCAGGTTCAACAATGACACTATTTTAATTTATTTAGTTCATCTTCAGTTAATTTACAATGTATTATTATATTATTAATATTCATTGTAAATTAACTAATTATTCTAACATAGAATTTAAGCTTCCATAAACATTCATTATTTAGATAGAAGGAGAGACAGGCAGTTTCGACCCAGCCAATCAGGACCAACTCAGGCTGTGTGGTGTATATAATATATCCCAGAAGAAAGACGAAGAAACAAATCTTCGTCGTCATTCAACATTGTCGTATGTCAAAATTTCAAGAAAAAAATCAAATATCGATTAGTCCTAGTCTCATTCCTCTTCTTAAATTAGTTGCGGATTTAGATGAATTAAACATTTTGTATTACGATAATGTCCTTCCCAAAATAGAAGTTTTTTTCTTCTGAAAACCTCGTATTTTGACAAACAACAATGAACGATGGCGACAATGGACTACACACACATACAATGTCTTCCCCATGTAGGAATCGAACACAAACTCAAGAGTACAAGATGAATACATGACTGTATCCTAACCATTACACTGCAGATGCCGGTCATACTGGATTAACATCCTCTGAAACAGGTAAAGTAGGCCATTTACGAGGCAGTTATTGATCCCTTACAGACAGAACTTCATCATGCGTGTAGAGGGCCATGAAAACTGTATACATGTTAATACAGTTGAACCTGCTCTACCAGCCACCTGTTTAAGACAAACCTCTGAACAAATATCCACTTTCCCTCTTACATTTATGTTATCTTTAATAATGACAGTGTCCAAGACATTCACCTGTCAAAGACAACCAACCACACTTTTCTCCTCGATAATAGCCATCTTGGACAATTTCGACAGTATTGATTCTACAGAGTAGCAACAGACGAGTACACACAGCAACAGACAAGTACGTGACAGAAAAGTATGTACATACAGTGACAGACAAGTACACACAGATCAAACTGACAGACAAGTACACAACAAAGTGACAGACAAGAACACACAGATCAAAGTGACAGACAAGTACACACAGACCAGAGAAAGACAAGTACACACAGATCAAAAAGACAAGTACACACAGATCAAAGTGACAGACAAGTACAAACAGACCAGAGAAAGACAAGTACACACAGAACAAAGTGACAGACAAGTACACACAGACCAGAGAAAGACAAGTACACACAGAACAAACTGACAGACAAGTACACACAGAACAAACTGACAGACAAGTACACACAGAACAAACTGACAGACAAGTACACACAGATCAAACTGACAGACAAGTACACACAGACCAGAGAAAGACAAGTACACACAGATCAAAAAGACAAGTACACACAGATCAAAAAGACAAGTACACACAGATCAAAAAGACAAGTACACACAGATCAAAAAGACAAGTACACACAGATCAAAGTGACAGACAAGTACACACAGACCAGAGAAAGACAAGTACACACAGATCAAACTGACAGACAAGTACAAACAGAACAAACTGACAGACAAGTACAAACAGAACAAACTGACAGACAAGTACAAACAGAACAAACTGACAGACAAGTACAAACAGAACAAACTGACAGACAAGTCTGCAAAGATCAAAGTCAAATATGCACAGATCAAAGTAAAACCCAAGTACACAGAGATCAAAGTGAGAAACTCAAAAGTGTAACTGAACAAGCTGTGGTTTATTGTGGTTTCAATCATGTATGAGGCTGCTCCTATATAGCAAAAGATTAGGAAAATATTTAAAATAGTCACACTTCTTGATAAGGAAAAAAATCTGGGTGTGATACACTGGTCTTGGGGGAAAAAAAGCAATTAATTATGTAAAAATGCTCATGAGCTGTACAAAAAGAAATGCATAAACACTCGGCTTAATGACTGAGATTAAATATGATATGATATGTAAAACCAGAATATGAACAGATATTTTTACAGCAAATGCTTAAGACCAGATGTGCAGTGCAATTCATTTCATTCCAAGGATAAGTCCCAGGAAATCAAGGTTTTCAGACTTTACAAATGCATCCATAGACAACTATAACCACACACATAACAAACAGAAAGGCCAAAAGCAGTACAGTGAAAACGGGGTATGAGAGATGACATCAAGTTTTAAAGTTTTTTTAGAAGAGGTTTTACGGGGCTCGAAAATGCATAAGGTCATATGAGCGCAAGGGGGTGGATGTCAACTGAGAAGTCCGTACAGGGAATCAGACTTACTCTGATATAATAACTGTCATTTATAGTTGGGGAAAAGTAAGACTGGTAGAAACAACAGAGGGAAAGTTAAAAGTACAACCAACCAGAGGCACCCTCTAACCACCTGCAGGAAAGGAGGAGGAGAGATAAGGATGATAGATGTTTGATAGGAAAGAAAGGGCACGCCACATTAGTGACCTCACTTACCACCCACACCAGTGCATATGTCAGGTGAAAGTATCAGTGGCAGATAAGGGAACTACATCTGACACCGTGAGAAAACCCATGGTTCTCCTGACAAAAGGTTTACCTGCTTGTCCTTTGACAAGTTTTTAGTTTTAGTGAGAGTTTAATGGCACTTGCAACACAATGAGATCCTAAAAGTGCCGAAAGATTAGAGGTGTTACTAGATAATAACATACAAAAAAAGGGAGGAGAGACCAGGACGACAGACGTTTGATTGGAAAGAAAGAGCAAACCACACCAGAGCACCCACTAACACCCTCCTTTGACAAAAAAAATGCACTAACCAGTCACAAAACATAAAGTTAAGTCTTGGGTATTTCTGCACAGTATTTTCAAGCCATACAAGTCTCATCATCCGTTTCAGTTTAAGGAAGCAAGAAAGTGCCATCCAGTCAACATATAACTGCACCTACATAGTCATCCTCCTTACAAAATGTTCCAAACCTACATGATGTACTTTTACTAAACTACTATAAGTTTCAAACAAATGGCACAACTACTTTTTAAACAAAAAGACTCAACCAAGGAGTGGGAAGTCTTGGGTTTTCAAAATTTTCCCCAGATTTCATAGAAGCAACTCCCAGAGAACAATTCATGAAAAGAAGCTTCACTTCTGTATTCACCACAACAAAAAAGGCGACAAAACTACGTTTTAACCCTTTTAATTTCAGCTTTTTTTGCACCTGGTCTTAACAACTATTCTCAGATCTGTACATGTATTTACTATATTTACAAACAAATCGCACAAAAAGTAATTTTAAACACTCCTTCATGGCAACTGCCTACGTCAATTACGACCAGTAGATTATCAGTCTAAAAAACTTACAAAATACAGAGAAGGACAGGCCACAAAAAGCTATGGACACTACCGACCCAAAATATCGGCGACCATATAGAAATCATGCAAAATAATCTTTTTTAAAGGATGTGACATATAACTCTTAAGACTAAAAATATTTGTAATTACAGTGCAATTACATGTTGATTGCCTCTGTTTACCAACAACTGCGCCTGGCATTAGCAGGTCACCTATGTAGTAGTAGGGTCCTTCCTCATTTTACAGACTTGGTTCTTACAACAAACCAGTCAGGTTTTCATTTTGACACATATAAATTTCATCGCAGAGCTTTTACTTTTCATGAGAGCATGAGCGAAAAAGCAAGAAGTCTTCCATTTCTTTGTTTGACAAAAGAGTTGCGAGTGCCATAAACCTCTTACTAAAACTAAAACTAAACTAAAGAGATGCACATCGAAAAAAATAATATCTTCCTGGAAGGAAAAAATGTGTCCCTAAAGAGGTGTTCACATGGCAGAAGTGGAAGAACGGAACTTGTTTTCCAATACTGCACACAGACTTTGTAGGGATAGGGAGAGCATCTATAGATGTACATCTTCTACTTCTAGAGAGAGAGCCAGTTTCTTCTACAGAGATAGAAGTGATAGGTGGTGCTCTCCAATCCCCCGCCAGCCTGCCCTGGCCTTACCAGAAAGAGCACTATATCGTTATCAGTGGCAAACAAAACAAAACAAATATTATGCTGAGCACAAGAACCTGTAACCAACTGTCACAGATTCTTGAATTATTTACTATAACTTACTGACCAACAATATGAAATACTGTAGAACTAAGCCATTGTGTGAGCAGGCAAACAGCAAAGGGACCAACCTATAGCAGAACACCAAGTAAGCAACGAAAATGTATCAAAATTAAATTATTGAGTAGTATGTCGTCTGCGTCATTATTAAAGAAAAAACAGTTTCAAATACTAGTATGATACAGAGAGGCATGCACCAACACAATATGGTC